TCTAATAGCGTACAATTATTATTATTGCAAACAGGGTTGGTATTTTGTCTTTTTTGGAATATTATAGCCACAACAACTGCATGGATTAAAGGAGAAGGTGCGTGTTTATTTTCTTTTTCTTTTTAAATTTTATTAAAACCTGTCACTATGGATTAAACTTTGTCATTAAATTATTCTAATATGTTTTTTATTCCTTGTGCTACAGACGTGACGATCTGGTTTCTTGCTGTTATCTACTTCCTATCAGGGGTTCCACTTGGCTATGTTCTGTGGTATCGGCCACTTTATCGTGTTTTTAGGTAATGCTTTATTACATCCTACTTTCATTTCTTTTTATTACAGCATTGTTTTCCAATTATTTACTTACACAATATAGCATTGTAATTACAATTGCTTTCTTATGAGGAAATTTTACTTTGAAATTTTTACCCAAATTATAGCAGAGATTGCTTTGTATTTGGGTGATATTTCTATTTTCGGGTGTATTTTTTTAAAGTACAACCCTGAAAACAGAATGCTACGATAAATAAATAAATAAAAGCATGTTGCTGTTTTCTTGCATTTTGCTTAACAAAGTGTCATCTTCTCATCCTTTTCATTAACATTACAAATTGTGTTTGCAGGAAGGAAAGTGCATTCGGGTTTGGTTGGTTCTTCCTATTTTACTTGGTAAAAGCCTTAACAATTGTAGTTGATTTTTTACTATGGTTTCCAAAGAAGCAATTTGGACAAATTATGGGAATGAAAATCCAAAATATAATGAAAACCAAACATTATCGTTTTCTGATTGTGTATTGTTATTTTTCTGCTTACAGTTACACATATGCTTTGTAATCTTTGCGGCTGTTGCTCCTCCCATTGTCTTCAAAGGAAAATCTCTCACGTGAGTTCCTCCCCATTTTTTATAAATATATTCATCACTTTTAGGCTCAGTTACCAAATTTGCCCTTTTTCATTTTTTTTTTTTGTAACAATTTTGCTTTCCATTGAACAGAGGAATCCTACCAGCAGTTGATCTTGTAGGAGATCAAGCTTTAGTTGGGGTGAGTTTTTGTGCAGCTTTTATTAATATAAAGTCTGTTATTTTTGTATTAATTATGAGTATTTTTCATAGATCTTCTACTTTCTTGGTTTCGGGTTATTCTGTCTTGAGGCTCTGCTCAGCATTTGGGTTATTCAGGTTTATTCTCTTTCACAAATAAACAACCCTTTTATCCACATTGGTTAATTATTATGTTTTAATAAAACTATTATTAAAAATATTAAGTATATTTTTTTAATATTATTTCAAATCATGCAGCAAGTATACATGTATTTCCGAGGGAGTGGCAGAGCAGCAGAGATGAGAAGTGGGGGTGCTTGAGGTGTAGTATGAGCACCAACCTGAGCCATGAGTTATGTTTTTATTTTTATTTTTTTAATGGTGAGATTATATTTGCTGACTTTAATTTCATGAATGGATTTGAGTTGTAAAAAAGTATAGAAAGATGGCAGGAGAAGGAGAGGAACTGATAGTTTTTAACTTTGTTTATAAATCTGTTATATTTTATATTTATATTTGATTATAAACTATAATAAGAGAAGAGATTGGTGATTCTTGTTTTTGAATGATTTTGAGTTGTGGATTATATGATTCAACAAATGAACAAACTTTGGCTCCATTGAATGTGACTATATTACATGTTTAAAAGCATATTAAATACAGATAAAAGATTGAAAACTTGAAATCAAAAATGAAAAAGCTCATGGCAAATTAATCAAAATAACCCAATATAATTACATGATATATAATACAAAGGAAACCCACAAAAAAAAATCATGCATTTGACAAAACAATATTATTTTGGTACCAAACCATCTAAGCTGTATTACAAAAGTTATTTATTTGACCATTATATATCTTAAATCCAACCATTTTTTTTCGTTTCCTACTTTTCTTTATTTGGTCAAATAAGCTGCTTGAGTAATAATATCGTGAAGAAAATTTATTTTACTAGAACAAATATTTTCTCCCCTTCTGTACTCTAAAAACATATCATACAAAATCCAACGGCGGATATTAAGATATCATGTGATGGATCAAAGGCTAGAAGAGTTCCAGCTGGCATCAACTGCTCTCATGATTTTCTCATGTAGGGAGGCGCCAGCACATGCGATTATACCTCGATCTAATCCTTGCAAGTACATACCTTTAGAGAAGTCGAGTCGCTGGCCACCGGCGTCGGTGACGACACCGCCGGCTTCTTCGATGATGACAACTCCGGCGGCATGGTCCCATATCTTCTCCTTATAACCGGCTCTTGCGAACTTCATGAAAATCTCTGCGTCTCCACGAGCGATGGCGGCGTATTTCACCATACTGTATACTCGTAATGGTTGGTTCCTACAGTACGAGGGTGAAAATTAAAAAATTTCATGTGATTTTCCCGATTTATCCCTGAATTTCGGGATAAGGGTAGATTAGTAAATTTGTGTATGTCTCAAGTTCTCAACTCGCAGTGTGTTTGCAGCAGTCATGGATATCCAAGTAATTTTGCATATTTACCCTTATTTTCATTGTATAGTTTATATCTGTGACCATTACAAATGATCGATTTTTTGATTCTTGGTATTGAAAAAAGCAAATTGCAGAAAATAACAGAACACTTCATATTTTTACTAATATGATAAATGTTTTTTTTTTTTTTTTTTTTTTTTTTTGTAACCATGATAGCAATCTATCTATATTTTTTTTTACAAATAATATATATTTACATACAACAGAATATGAATAACATACTTATATTTCTTTACTTATGATAGCAAAATAAAATATAACAAATTGAGTACATTACCTGGTAGTGAAATGTGAGTACGTTACTATTTTGGGTAAAACAATAAAGTAAAATTGTTCATTATTGGTAAAAAAAAAAAAAAAAAAAAAAGTACGTAGCCTATCATGCGTTAAAAATAAAGTACATTGAATCCATTGGCAGCGAAGAGTAAAGCACGTTGCTATTCCTCGAAATTTGCTGTATTCATATTTCTTTATCAATAATAACAAAGCACTTAAAATTTTATGGATAACCCATAATAACAACATACTTACATTTTTTTTTTTACCAATAATAGCAATAGCAAAATGTACCAAATAGATTACATTACCCATATTGGTAGTTAAATGTAAGTATGTAATCCCTTGCTATTATTTGGTAAAAAATAAAGTGCTTTGCCTATCTATATTGATATCTAGAATAAAGTAAGTTTCCTATATTGGTATTTAAGACATTTCACTCGGATCAAAATTGAAAGACTTGAAAAGAGAAAGAACAAGTACCTAAGCCCGACACTATGAGCCAACCCTTGAGTAAACGAGTGGCTCGAGTTCGCCTTCTCCACGGGCTCACAAAACGTAGCCAAAACCGGATTATCAATACTCGACACTGTGACCGGCCTTGCAGAATTCGGCCACACAAAACTTTTATCTCCACTCACCAACGGTTGCATCCACGCTTTCTTACTCCCTTTCTTTGCATAAAGCACGCACCCTTTCCCATCCCAACTATCCAACCCTGTTTTAGTTAATCTCGAAAGCATCCTCCGATACCCATTTTGGTAATTTAACCACTCCTTATTCAAAGGGTAGTTCGGGCACCCAAGAACCCCGAGCACCACCTGCCCGTTTTCAATTAAGGCTAGAGCAATCGCGTACTGGTCTCCGCGTACAAAGCCTAGGGTCCCGTCGACCGGGTCGAGTACCCAGAATCGACCGGTGGGCCCGCCCGTGGAGTTGCAGCGGCTAATTGCTTCGAGAACTTGGGTGGTTTTGAGAGGTGTGGGTGGCGGTTGGAGGTTGAAAGTGGCGGCGGTGGATAGGGAGTCGTTGACGGTTGTTACTATGGATGAGAGGAGGCTGGCGGCGTTAGGTTTTGAGAGGGCTTCGATGTCTTCTTCTGCAACGATTGATACGTTTTCCGGTCCGAATGCTTGGGATAATATCCAGCTAACGGTTGCTTGCACACTCCAATCTGTTAATAAATTTGTGATATGATTGTTACGATTCATAATCACACCGGACATGACATGACAAAACAGGTTATACTGTGTTTGGAGTGTATGACTAACTGGAGTAAGTGCAAGTCTTTATCAAGTAATAAAAAACAACATTTTAAACTTCATATTCCAAAATAATGTTCTAATTGCTTTTGAGAAAGATACTCTTTTCATGAATTCATCATGGAACTTTACGATCATAGTAACTTTACATGTTGCTAGTCCATAGCTTGAAAGCAAAATCGAAAATGAGTAGGATTGTCACTTATAAGTCCATTATAGGCACTTACTTTGTGTAAAGAAAATCTTTCCACAAATTAATGAATCCCATTGGCACTTGTGAAGTTGCCTTACTTTTAGTTTTTAGGTCAAACGTAGTACTTTTTCGAATCAATGTGGGAGAATTAACTTTGTTACAAACATGATTCTCTTTGTAGTACTTGTTGGAAGTTCACTCATAATCATCAATTTTTCTTAAAAAAAATATATATACTGTATAATGCTTACATACTAAATAATACTAGTGAGTTTGAAACTTCTATATTTGACCTCCATAAGTGAAAAATAGCTCTTGCAATTCATTAACCAGTAGACATAGAAATAATGAGTTCTGAAATAAAGAATTAAGACACAATTGTTCTTGCTACCCGCATAAAATCAGTTTCACTAATCTTCAAGCAATTACCACACAACCAAGACAATGAATTTGAAAATCAAAAGTGAAATTGAGAATCAAAGATTACCAGCAATTGTGACAGGGGAATTATCGTCTTTGGCTTGAACATCTCCATTTCCATTGAAGATCAAATTTTCTTGAACTTTCTGGCATAACAAACAAGCAACATGAACGGCTTTCACAGCAATTTCCAATTCTTTACCGTATTTCTCATCTGGGTGTGCTTCAGTCGACACCCAATTGCCGTTCTTCTCCATTTCGTCAGAAACGTGGGGTTTTCGATCAGATGTATTTAGACAGCAAATGGAGGTTCTGGATTTTGGGTAATTGCGACTATGAAAGGAAACCCAGAATTTTACATGGGGTTTTAAAGAATCGTTGTTCTTGTTGGCAAAGAACAAAGTTTGTGGGATTTTGGTTCCCAATTTTGAAGGAAAAGCAGTCATTATAAATAGCTCTCTCACACTCGACTGTATCCAGATTTTTCAAAGTTTCCAGTGATTTTGATGTATTTGGCCGAGAAAGGCACACGGTGTTGTGTTGGTTTGCTTAGAAAAAGGTAATGTGGAATATTGCATTTAAGCCCCTTGAGATTTCGGAGATTGTAGAGCAAGCCTCTTTTTAACCCAATGTTCTAATAATTGAATCGTTAAAAGTTAAATCCGAGCTGTACATTAAAATCACAAAAAAAAAATAAAAAAATAAAAAAATAAAAAATAAAAGCCATGTAGATGACAACATGTTTAGGAGTTGTTTGGTAAATTGTAATGAATGCTTTCAAACATTTTAATGGTTCGGATAATTTTAAGGGTTTTGATATGTTTAGAGATTGTTTAGATGTTGTAATAAATATCCTGTTGATTCAGACGTGATATTGAAAAATCCAGTTTAGATGTTACCAACTTTTTATCATAAAGTGACTAAAATTTGTGACAAAACAATTGTGAGTCACATAGTCAGTGAAGTAGCATTTCTCAACATATGTGGTTTTCTGATTTTTATGTGATCTTTTTTTAAGTTGTCAAACATTTTGAGTCAAATCGTCTATATATATTTACCATAAAGTTTTAAATAGCTGATCGTCGAACCCCATTAAAACCATGGACTTTTTATTCTAACTTTAAACTTTATTTTATCTTTTTTTTTAATCATAAAAAGCTAAGACATTTTTTCGTGAAAGATTTATATTTTTCTCATAACTTCCAATCCGCTTGTCATATCATTCTCAAAATCAGTTTTTTTTTTTTTTTTTTTTTTTTTTTTTTCATCTCAACATATGGAAAATTCATATTCAATTTTTATGTTTGTTAAATTAATTTTTTATTAATAATCTAAAACTAAAAAAAATAAAATATAATATTTTTAATTAAAAGTACGAAAAAAAACACAATAATTAAAAAAACACGATATTTGGTGCAATTTGTTGTTTCCTCTCGATCAATCAATGTTCATAGAACACCTCCAGTTAGGGATGTCAAATTGGACAATCGTGTCGTCTTTTTGTCTGACACGACACGACACGATAATTTTTTATATAATACGAACATGACACGACACGATATCGTGTTTATTTTCATTAACATGAAAAATGGGTCGATTAAAACACAACAAACACGACATAACACGACAAACATAAAATAATACAATTATTAGTT